TTCAAGTTATAGAACAATGGTCAGCGGAAATCATTGAGTAACAACTAACAAAAGAAAAAATTTTAATCAGACGGAGTAGAAAACTGACGCAAAATCACCTGTATGCTTCCTTCTAAAGCTGCAAATACCGGACTTAGTTACAAGAAGGCAACAGAAGTAAACGCAGCAAACCCTATAACCAAACTTTTCTTGGAAAAAAAAAAAAAAAGAAAAAGAAAACCTATGCATCTTCTATACCATCTTTCCCCTGTATCATTCACCAGTACTAAAACTGATCTAACATGTTATGAAACAGCCAAATGCTCTCTTCACTATACTAAATACAGAAACCATCAGGAAAACCATCACCAACTTCTTTGATGCCAAAACCCGAAGATTTAGCCTCAAACCATGCCTTCTCATTAACCTAACTACAGTTGTACCCAACATAAGAACCCAAGATACGACAGCTCGTACTACTACCTTCACTGCTTCTGCCGGTCCAGTCACATTTTCTACACCTTCTGACACCTGCACATAAGATAACTTTGAGCTCACATCATCTTCCTCCACTTTGTTTAGCCCAAGACTTTCATTCAGCCAAACTGAAAACAGGACAAGCAGCTTGACCAGCCATGCCACCTCGTCCTCAGAGATGGGGCGCTTCATCCAATCCCCCTTGTATTTGACATCTAACATTGCTCGATTGCCAACTCTTCTGGGCTTGAATATTTCATTCCGTGATTTCGGGCATTCAACTGTCTCAGGTGAAAATGAAATTGGCTTTATAGTATGGCCACCAAAGAAACAGCTCAGTTGTGCTCTAAGTGCATCTATAGATCGAAGGTTCTGCACAAGATTCTTTCCAGATGTGGCTTGAAACTCAGCTTCTGCACGCAAAATAAACAACTGCAACAGAAACACAGAAGCTAAGGGCCTCATAATGGTTAAGTAGCAAACATTAATTTCCAAGACTTTAACCAGTAAGACTATGAAAACCTGAAATAGTTGTTGTCCGCCATCTTCTCCATCATTAAACAGTTGCAAATCTTTATTCCAATTTTGATGCAAGAAAGATCCATCAGCATCATTCTCACATAACCCATCCTCCCAGTCCTAGTTCACAGTCAGAATATCATAAAGGACACAACATCACAAGTTCAATGGTAAATGGCATCATGTTACACAAGCCTTTCAGCAGAAAAGAAATGCATGATGAGAAACATCACGCTTCATAGAACTGCTAGGGGTGTGAGAAACAAAGATCTAGTTAAGGGAACATAAACAACCAAAATTTCTATGAGCTTTGAGGAAATAGCATGCTTCGCAACAAATCAGGACGTTCAATTAACTCCAGCATGGACATGGAATCTATATCTGATGTCAGCTTTTTTCAATTTCCACGTAATTTCTTTTAAATTTGGGCGTATTCAGTAGGATGGCCTCTCCAGTGTCATCTTATGTCTACATGGGTATTTGAGGTGAAAGATCTACGTAATATTAAACACAACTTTGAGTTCATACCAAATTCGAGTCATAAGGAAAACAGAGAAGACAAAGAAATGAATAATATACCTGCAACTGTTCACGAATAGATGGAACAAATCTAGACAAACTGTTAAGCATCAATTTGCTTGATTCAGATTGTCTGGAATGAAAGACAGTGTCAATATCCTTTATAAGATTTGTAAGTTCTTTTGATGATGTCAATATGCTCATCACCTATAAAAGAAGGAAAAACATGAGCCCCATTTGAAAACAGTACTCGGCATTAAGTCAACTAAAGAACCAAATAGTCCATTGCCACAAGATCTGCAATCCAAATACATGTTCTCAGCACCTAATGATTTGTCAGGGTGATTTTTCAAATCACATAGAAACTACTCATATCAGAAAGAATTGTCCCCAATCACAATATATATTTATATATAATAAAAGGGCAGTAACATTTCCAAGTGCAGATTTTACAGATGCCATTTGATACCTCTTTAAATCCAGTGAGCTGATTGATTCAGTAAGAACACTGTAACTTTATAAAATACAAGATTTTTCCTATTAATCCTATAAAG